AGTAATCGCCGCCATCGCATAATTATATTGGAGAACAATATATATCACATATCGCATAACACAGCCGTTACCCCATAGTTTGTGTGTTCTTGTTCTTACCAATGCAAACGACTATGCGCATCCAGAGGAGAGGAGTGTGGTGAAATATTGGTACGCTTAATATAGTTGTGGCTATCTAATATTCTAGCTATCTAATATTCCTCCTATCATGGATTTGAAGACAGAATCATACAATCAATCCCGGCAGTCAGTCAAGTGTGTGCCCCGGGAGAATATGTGTCCTAATTTGCGATAATTAATTAAATCAAGATGTGATTGTTTATTTTAAAAATCGCGATTCAATGGAAATTCTCACGCTATTCTTGTTTCATAAAATGATAGACGTCCGGATCATAATGCATGTACTAACACAATATTCACGTATAGGTGTTGGCGAAGTATGTGGGTGGTATATCCGTATGCTTGTAAATCATTAAATATGAATTATATCGATACAAGACGTTATTTTAATGTGAATGCCGATAAATTATTATTTCTTTAAAAAACACACACACAAAATTTTGTTTTAAAATTCTCACCACTCGAAAACACTGATTTTTCAAGTTTTACCCACGATCCACTCTTTTCGTTGTGATGTGGAGATGCTCGTTAGTCAACTTTGCCACAGAACAAGGCCCCTCGGCATTTTTTTCGTTTACATATCTACAAAATAAACTTTGTGTAACGAAATCATGAGTCCTAGGTCGAAACCCACCACTGATCGTTTATGATCTTTCAACAACAAAAAAACTGCTGAGAAAGGGGAGTCTCACATACATTATAGTTGGCTCACAATTTAGTCACAATTATGTACAGATAATTCTATCGGTTTGTCTCTGGGTTCATCGATGAGGGCGCAGTGCGCTGATCGTCTTGAACGTGGAAAGTATTAAAGGAAAAGTCATGCTAACAACATAATAATCCCAGATGAAAGAGCTTGGCAAATGTAAGAAAATGCAATTTACAGTTTTTTATATCACTATTTATTGTCTATATATTCAACGTTTCATCAGTTTATGTCGTCCATCATCTTAATTCTCTAGCAAAGGATAAAGGGTAAAGTATAACATCATATCCACTGTTGTGAGAAATTGAGAAAATTGTTTCATCTATAGGTTCAAAAGTTGAACTTCAAATTAGCTGAAAATTTAGAGTGCCGAAAATGCATAAAATGCATGCAATAGTACTGAAAATATCAATTTTTGTATTTTTCTTCCAAATACTCAATTTTTCGTATATTGTACACAATTTATCGATGCAAGTAGATTATACTGGTGATTCATAACCTGTAGACCACAATTATCATTCTATTGTTAACAGCCAAAATAACGTTTTTGGCAATATCTTTACTTTTTGTGTATTTGTAACATTCTAATTTCCAATAATATAATTATATACATGAGTAACATACACACCGAAAATTTGAATGAATTTGCATCAGTATTTCTCACGTTATAGATGAAAGCATTTCCTTAATGTTTCACAACAGTGGATATGATGTCACACTTTACCCATAATCCTTTGCTGGAGAAACAAGATGGCGGACTGCATAATACTGATTAAAGTTGGATATCTAGAGAATGAAAAGTGATATAAAAAACTGTAAATTGCATTCTCTAACATTTGTAGAGCTTTTACACCATGTTGCGTTATGTTGTTTCCCGTGACTCTCCTTAATATTAATTATTGAGACATACAACACATGGTCATGATTGGTCACCCATAGGCCCCGACTCTCTATACATAATTTATAGACGACGAACTTCAGTATATATAACAGACAAAGGCTGCCTGTTTTGCAATTTTCAATTTATGAGAGACACTTTCTGAAGGAGTAAACAGGCGGTATTGATGTTTGCTGATAGTGCTGTTTTTGAAAAAAACGCTCAAAGGACAAAGGATGTGTCACACTATATTTGATCTTAATTATTCTCGATTATTAATTTTCGTCAAATTCTAGAAAATAACCAGGGAGACACCTGTTCACCAATATATATTAAATACTACACACTTTTAAGAACATACAATACTTTTATTGGTATATATCGATTTAACAATTCAATAGCACACATAATATTAGGCAGCTTGAAAGGTGAACATAACGTGACAATACGCATCATGTTATATTCCGCGGACTAGGGAGCCTATATATATGTTTACTGGTGTCGTGCAGTATTCCGTAGACTCGGGAGACCTATATATATATTTACTGGTTCTGTGCAGTAACATAACAACACAGCACGAAGACACTTACAAAGGACATATAACCAATAATAACGTGGATAGAGGTCTTAAGGCGTACATAGTGTATGGATACATATTTATGTTATTGCTTCTCAACATGTTCAACTATATTTGTACGACAACACAAATGTAATAAGTTTTATAACATTAGAGAACAACAACAATAACAGCCGACTTCCGGGCACTGATAATGAATTGCACAGTAAACAGTCAGACTTCACCGTGTCAAGTCTTACAACGTACTGTGTACGTGTCGCTGCTCAATATCGAAGTTCATGCTTAAAAGAAAGCTAAGAAGGTGGAAACGTAGACCGTCGACTTATGGCGTATATATTATATTATGTATCCCGCTCAAGTTAAAGAACCTTGAATTTCTTCAAAGCCTGTAACAGCGCCCTCTCGCGGGATTTGATGCGCGGTGAGTTGAGGACTTTTTCTCGGAGTCTGTCACTGACCAGCTCGTTTAGTTCGTCGCTGTTATCCTACAGGAAATTGATATAGAAAACTCACTGTTAGAAATCATTGTCAGATTGAGAAATTTGTATTTAGGACATTGTGGTTAGAACTGCCACACCATCGTATCTCCTTTGGTTACGCAAGCCCTCTCCAAATATGTAAAATGGCCTACCCTAAACATGTTTTCAATCGAATTAGGGCGATCAAGTTTTATTCACAAATGAAATAAGTAACATATCCACCACTGAGTGTTTAGCAGAAATGGCATTATAAACCTAACCAATTCGGCTAGTGACCTTTTCCCTGTTTCAGCTTTGACCGTACGCCCACTCCGAATTTTCAGCTGTTAAGTGTGATACGTATTCATTGTATAAATATAACGAGAAATGTATGATCGTCAAAACAATTTAACAATAATAAACAGTATATCGGTCTAGTAATTGGTGATTTCATGTTTCTTCCTGTGTGTGTGTGCGTGTGTGTTTGTTTGTTGTTGTTGTTGGTATTGTTTACCTTATCAACATCGACGTCGGAATCACTGCTTTCATCTTTGTCTTCTTTTTCACTACTTCCGGATCCGTTATCAGACGACTCGCTACTACTACTACTATTATCAGGCTCTAAAGTAAACATTTTCTTTTTTCTTTTTCTCTTATCATCACCATTCTCCGTGTCTTCATCATCGCTTGCCTCACTTGATTCGTCTTCCTCAGAGGTATCACTGTCTTCACTATCGTCACTTTCGTCCTGATCATATTCATTATCTCTTTTCTCTTCATTATCTTCATCACTGCTATCATTGTCATCGTTGCTATCGTCACCGCTGTCGCTTTCTGCTTCACTGCTGTCGCTGCCATTTTTGTCCGATTCCTCGCCATCGTCATCATTTACATCCGAATCATCGTCATCATTTTCATCACTGTTTTCGCTTTCTTCAGAGTCGTTTTCCTCGCTCGATGAATCATCAGAACTCTCCGATTCTTCTTCGTCATCATCGTCCTCTTCGACAGCGCTCTCGCTACTTTCGCTTTCGTCTTCGTCTTCATCAATATCCGGTTTCTCATTCACAAGCTTCTTCAAATCACTTATTTTTAGATTTTTCAGTAATTCCACTGCTGAATAGAAAGTGAGTACAATAATTACAACCAGTATTCAATCTACGCGCATATGACAGTTTAGAAAAAGAAAAAGTGCCTCCCGATAATCACGCCCATCCGTTGCAACAACATGTTATTTCCTTCTTTTGTTATAAACTAGTTGACGGTAACACGGACTCATAACCCTTCACATCCCTGTTTGTACAGTAACGATAATACGGGGATGATGTCACCATTTTTACTCTAAATCAAGTCATTGTGTGGTTTCATTTCAGAGATTGCCACGTGTCGTTTATCGGCGGTCATAATTACGCATAACCACCGGCGACTGACTGTTTCTAAATTTTGCGCAATTTATTCAATAACCTGCCTGCATACACGCGCTGTTGTAGTACTAGTAAAGTTTAATTATCGGTTAACCGTATTAACCCTGTAACCTCTCAGGTGATAAATCAAATATATATAATGAAAAAAAAAGCTGACCCGACGATTGACGTTCGGGCCATTGACTTCCGTTAATTTTATATATGTTGCCGATATTCCATGCAACAGCAAAGCAGTTGTCATAGTAAATATAATGGACGGGGTTTAGTTTCCTGACATCATCTAACGAAATTAATAATTAACTATCCAAGCTTAGCATACATGTATGTTTAGGGTATACAAGATTGCAGTGTACATTTGGAAACAGAAACTCGTTATTCATTCGAACCAGATTATGCACCCCCCTTAATGAAATTAGAGAGTGTCAAGTTTGAACAAGACAAAATGGCCAATGTTTCAAGTTCAAAGTGAAATTTTATTCACCTATAACTCTGGCCTTTTCAATAATCTCTTTCTCGGTCGATGATTTCGGTCGCACGCCGTTAAAACTCCGTTTCCTCTTTGCGTCATCGATATCGTTGTGACGTCACTTGAAGACTCTTGATTCTCTTCATCGGATTCTGGAAACAAAAACGAGACAAAATAAAAAATGTGTGCGGGGAACAAGGCTAGCAGGCTCCGCTAACCCGGGTGTGGATACACCGTACCGTAATTGCCGTAATCACCATCAAACTCTAGATGCCTCGTAGCTGTGTTTGAGTTTACTTGCCCCTTGTACGTGTCATTAAGAAACCCGTTGTGATTCCAGTTGCATCTAGGGATGTTCAATATTTCCACTACTCGAACTGCGATGGAAACAGTTATTGCAGTGACCCAGGTGTCAAACAAAGTATTTTTTAAACTCTACCTTCGTCGTCGTCGTCATCGTCACTCGAGTTCTCTTCCTTCGATTCGTCACTGTCTTCCGAGTCGTCGCTATCGATGAACTCGTCCTCTGAATCATCGTCACTATCGCCTTCACTACTATCTTCACCACTATCCCCGCTATCAGAATTGTCGCTTTCTTCCTCTTCGTCATCTTCTTCTTCTTCAACGCCCTCCAACATAGCTGATAAAGTCAGAGAAATAAACAGAAACTAATTAAATATACATTTACTCAAAAATAAAATATTCTGAAATTAACGTTAATTAACGTTTTCTAATTACACTTGTTGTCATTTCCTAAAACTGTTAAGCCGATATCATTGGCCTCAAATCATACGATTGGATTAAAACAGCTTAAATTCAAGCATCTGTTCTCATTGCGTGCAAAAAATATACAAGATTGATATAATTTTGATTTACTTAAAAATCACACTACATTGGCAGTTTTAGAAAATTACAAGTTAAAATTATAACGCATTAATTGTGCAAATTTTAGGATTCTGTTTGTAGGAGGAACAATTATTCCTACCTTGCTCCATTAACTTTTGATTTTTGTTCACGACAAAGAGCATAGCTTTGATGTTTTCCACGATATCTTTATCGTAGTGTACGACATTGGATATGTCATTCAGTTTGTTGTTGAACTTGAACATCCAATCCTCCAGCACGTTTTGGTCATCGTCTTCTTCGGACGCATCTTCGGAGTCCGATTCTTCTTCTGAGTCCGCATCGCTACTCTCATTGGAGTCAGAGGCACCGGAATCGGAATCGCCTTCGTCACTATTCGACTCTTCGTCCGGTCTGTCAAGTAGTTCGTTCGCTGTGCTGGGATAAGCTGAAGAAGAAAACAGGTTTACAAATTGAAACCGGTGGCGGATAGCACTCGCCGTAGGTGACTGGAATCCTAAACAGTCAATAATGTGATTATCAGCATCTGTTTTGCATAAATATCTTATATCTTCTTGGATCGAAGATGGGAAGGTGTCAACCGACGACTCCACATCTGTGAGTTTGTCGGAGAAGTCGGCGCCGTATTTAATTTACTCCCTGTAGCAAGATTGTTGGCGACGAAATTAAACGTGTATTTCCCATTGCAACTAAAGTAGTAGTATCTTGCTCACTCCGAGGTCGTCCGGAAACGTCACATTATATTCATAAAAAAAGAAAGACATCATCCCGTGAGCCTCGCCTCCGATGGGAATAATACAAACACCACAAAACACGTCAACTATTCTCATAAACAACTTACCGTCTTCAAGAATTCTGACACATTCTTTATTAACTTCGTGGTTTGAAACATCGATTAATTTTATAAAACATTCAAGAAGCTGAGAAAATAAACAAAAACACGCCATTTTATAGTTAAAAGTTATTACACAGGTCATCGAATAATTATTCAAATTAGTCAGATTTGAATTTAGATTCTACAACCAGTGGTCGTACACATAATTACCGGATTCTTAATTCGTAATCGTAGAATTTAAAACGAAAGGTCGCAATCTCA